TTTCCCCAACTCATTTTCTCTGATAGGCTCTTTTCATTTCCATGGTGCTATTTATTTGGGTGGATTGGTGCTACTGAGCACTGGGTACCAGTTGCTCCCTCAACATCACTTAGGCCCCAGGCATGTGAATTCTTGCTTGGCCTTCTTTTATGTGGCCACAAGGGATCAAACTCAGGTGCTTATGTTTGCATACCAACCACTCTGCTGCTTGACTCCTCTCCCCAGCTCCCGTGTCTCCCTCTTGACCATGCTTCTGTAAGGGCTGCAGATATAGCCAAGGAGAGAACTCTCTACCCACTGTGACCAGCTCAGATGGGAAATGATGTTGAGATAAATTGAGTATGAGCAGTGCAAAGTGTATGAGTAAAATATATTAGAGGATATGAGTTGAGTTATGTGAGGCAGAGATGATCAGTGTGAATTTAAAGGGAACTCGAAAGAAGCCTTCTGTGGAAAAGCCTGGGTAGAGTTTCATACAAACCTGTGATGACATGGCACATCTAGGTATGGAGCATGGTAGATCCAAGTGTCCTTGGCGTAGGGACATTCTCTTTCCAAAAGAGGGAGACAGTGGAGAGTACATCATTGTGTCAGGATAATATTTCAGAAGCACAGAGAAGTAAATGGCAGGCACTCAAAGTCCCTAGAAAGTCCCAGAAGACCCCATCAGCAACAATTTAGTTTGATAAAAGTGTCTGAAGTATCATTCTTGCTCCCTGTGGAAGTATGGGTGGAGAGCCTCTAGGAAACCAGGCCAACTCCCTTTGTAACATTGTCTCTCTGCTGAAGAGCCAACATGAGGAAGTCCCCTCCAAAGACTTGTATGCCCAGGTGAAGCCCTCGAGACTCAGAAGGACAGAGATCACCTCTTCTTCTCTCATGCCAAAGGAATTATTGGCCTCAAATGACACACAGTCAAAAGGAAATCAAGTGATAGATGTGCAGGTGGGTCCTGACTTCTCTAGTGCCCCATGCTCCCAGTGCCCAACATAGACCTTCTTCTACACTTTCCCACTGCAGGCTGCTACAACAGAGGAGCCACATGATGTGACCTATGCCCAGCTGTGCATCGTGACCCCGAGACAAGGACATGTGAACCTCCCACCTTCCAGACAGAAAAGTCCAACCTGAGAACATACTCTGGCCTCTATCAATCCAGGGAGATCACACTCTGCATTCTGTGGGAGAGGGAGGATTCAGGGATGCCAGAAAACAAGATCTGTCTCAGGTGCAGAGTCATAGCACAGACATGACCAGTCTTTAGGAAATCCTGAGAAATTTGAGGACTCTGATTCTGTTGTCCCTGCATTTTATAAAAAATGCAAATGCTTTGTTAGTGACCAATGCATAAAATGAGGAGAGAAGAAAGGAATGAAGAAAGTTTCATTTTTTGTGTTGTCTTTTAATTTTCATTTTTGAGATTCCATTATAATT